CAGCAAAGCAAATGGAAGCAGCAGCGTTGAGAACGACAACATTACCTATATGTGGCTCATCAACATGAGCAGGCCCGCGCTTACGGCCTTTAATCATAACTGAAGGAACTACGCCACCGGCAGTGGGAGGGCGACGAACAGCACAGTAAGCAACCTGATAGTGTTTGAAATAGCAGGCTGTTCTCACAGCTAGTGGATGAAGAGACCTATTAAACTCTGCATGTTTCTTTGATGGAACAGTAAACATATTTCCGTTCGAATCATTTTCATCTCTGATATGGCCTCCAACAGCGCAGACCCTGTACATAGTGCATGCAAATGACATTTGCATATCAATACTAAGAGTACTATAGAAGGTAGCATCAAACTCTTTGAATGAAACCTGTACTGCCTAATTAGAACTGATGTAAAAAAAAATCAAACTCTGCATCCCTGTAACCTATTTAGGGGAATAGGGTGCATGGCGACATTAGATCATGTGAAATTGGTTGCAAAGGAAGATAGAACTGGTTTACGTCTAGGTGTTGAGCAGGGATTGAAAAGTATTCAGAGGGAACAAAATCAGTAGGAAAATATCTATATGGCAGGTCAGAGGCTTCCCTTTTTTTTGTGTCCTATCTAGAAACTAATTGGTAAATGTAGAGGACTAAGGGTCAACTGACAGAAGTAAAGTGCTGACTACTCACCAGCTGGTTTCACAGTTGTTGCCATCTCTGTTGAGTATGAAGATCTGTTGAGCATGGACAGCTAAGGATTGAGGTTGTAGTGTGAGGGGGAGGAGACATAGGCACCGACCGAGACTCAGCAGTCCTGCTCATTTAGAAGAATGTGATAGAATTAATTAACAGGAACATGTATATTAGAGGAAATTTTGTTCTTGAAGAGACAAGAGAGACCTATGAAGTGTGCTATACCAAGCACATGAGAAGACAGATTTCATGACAAATTTTGAACTGCCTAAAAGGCTCGAAGGAAGATCCACATTACTGGCAGGAACTCATTATATAATATATAATGTAACACTAACAAATCTTACAATTTTTTAATCATACGTTATTTGTACCAAGACCCCAAGAGTCTTTTTTCATTAGACAAATTGGAAACATAATGTCATACTATGTTCTTTCCTCCTTGTGGAAAATGTGGAGCTCTTCGTAGTGAAGATGTAACCTAGAATATCGAAGACATACGAATCAAAGTAATGACGGAAGTAGGAAAAATATGCAAGGATTAATTGCATACTGACACACTGAAAGTTTGGTTGTGCAGGTGACGGCTGTATAGGCAGCATTTTTTCTCCGTTCATTTTTTTTGTTTGGTTTGGCATTCCATCGAGCGATGGAAAGGCAGAAGACAGAAAGGTGAAAGAGGAAAGATAACATGGATTCAAGGTGTCGGTGCAAAAAGTGATCAATAAGTAAATATTTATAGTTTTGCCGTACGTTGTGATCGTAGGTGGCATAGCACTCAACGACACAGGGTTTATACTGGTTCAGGCAACGTGTCCTACGTCCAATTTGAGTTGGTCGGTGAGTTTATTCCTGAGGCCAGTTGCTCGAAGTTTGGAGTGAGATTACAAACGAGAAGAAGAAAGATGGAGGTACAAGAGGTCCGGTCGGACTCTGGTCGGAAGGGCCGAGAGCGATGGGAGCTCCGCTATGAGCTAAATGTTCAAGCGTGTGCTTGTGGTTCGAACCTGACGGTTCTGTGGTTGTGTACTAGTGAACTTGATCGATCTAATGAATCTGGAATGACTTGAAAGTGAACCTGAATGTTGGGAGAGAGTGCATCCCCTTTTATAGATCAAGGGGATGGCCTTACAAGTGAGAGGGAGAGAGTACGTATGCTTCTAAGCCTTGTCGTCCACGCCGGCGGGTACAGGATGATGGTAGACGGCCACAACACTGTTGGATGTCAGATGCACGTGGGAGGTTGCGTCGTCTTGTTCGGGTATGGCAGATGTCGGTACCTACTATACTGTTGATGCCCAGAGACATGTGAGGAGTTTTACCATGTTCACTCGGTACAGTAAATGTCGGCGCCCACAACACTGTCGATGCCTAGAGACATGTGGGGGGAGCCTTACCGTATGGGAGTTAACGGCGCCCACAATACTATAGGAGAAAATGTTGACGGCTACAACACTGTTTTGGCTCTGTTGTGCCAGGGAGGTTGCAGAGTACTATTTCTGCAGGTGTATAGGGTACGGTCCCTGGTATCGTGGTCTGACTTGTGCGCCCTACCTTGCTTTCTCCGTTCGTTCCCTGGTCATTTCCGAGCGGGCGTCCCTGGTCGGTTGGTCTCAGTCGGTTCTGATCGCGCCAGTCGGAGAAGAGCCGTGAGCAGAGGTTTGGCACATCCCTGGTCGGAGACACGGGTCGGAGTCGGAAGTAGTGCTTTTGGCTAGGCCTTCCGGTCGGAGAGGTCGTCCGGAGGCGGGCTGAAGACCGAAGCGAGTGCTCCTGTCGGAGAGGTGGGCCGGAATCGGAAAGCGGGCGCTGCTCCTCCTCGGCCAGGCCTCCCTGTCGGAGATTCGATCGCCCCTTTAGCCTGTCATTTAGGTACTTGGGCCGGCCCATGAGTTGTGCGTTTGTCTGCTTGTACCGAGCCTTTGTTGGGAGTCCGGTCCGCGAGGGACTCCGGGTTTATAAACCCGACACAAGGCCTTACCGTGTATGGGGAGGAGGAAGAACGCGGAGCAGGGCTGCCCGTCCGGCTGGCGCGGCCGTGAAGCCGGTGGAGAAGGACGACGGCTGCGGCGGACACCTGTTGTCTGAGGTTTCCGGCAGTTACATCCCGTCGTCTATGGCCGCGAAGACGAAGCGGAGATGGCAGCGGAAGGATCCGTACGGGCAGGTGTCCGGGGTTGTCGGTGGTGGCGCGGGCGTCAGCAGCCGGCGGCGTCCGCCGATGGAGGCGGAGGTCGCGGTGAGGGGAAGGAGCCGGCGCGGCATCGCAGCAGGGACGACCGGAGCGACGGCGACGCTGGCAGGGGTGGCGAGCAGTGCGGAGGGCACGCAAGCCGCGGGACAGCGAGCGGCGGAGGGCACCGAGGCGCGAGCGTCGCAGCGGCGAAGAAGGTTCGCGAGGTGGAAGTCTTGTTGACCGTACGTGAGGTGTGGAAGTATGAGGTGGAGGCGATGTTCTGCGGGCCGTTGATTGGAAATCTAATGGGCAGGGAGAAGGGGCGACGTGGCCGCTTGTGGGTTAAAAAAAGAGAATATGGAAATAAGGGTATGATAAAGATACTCTGTCTATCCGTATTAGGAGCATATATATATATATATATATATTATATATATATTATGTTCGCATGTTAGTTTCAACTAGGGTTTATCAACCAGTTAACAGGGTTCGTCGGTGTCACCGGCAGGCAGATAACATAAACATACTCGATCGGATAGCCTCCACGAATTGTACGTTTTGGATGCTCAACCTGAACCGCATGCATTGCTCGCTCATCATCAAGTTGATTGATGACAAGCTAGCCAACTGGTGTCACCCTATGTAGGATTCATTCAAGGACGCGTCCATTATCCTGCTCTGCTCACCTAATTCACGCGTCCCGCTTCTTAATTAATATTTCATTTCCTTCCTTCGCTAACCGTCTCTTAATTTATTCATTCATTTTATAAAACAAAACAACCAAAAAGAAAAGAAAAAGAAAGCTGTCTGTCTGCGATTCTGATGGCTTTCTCCCTCGGATCCGATGAATGAATGATGAATTGGCACGCTTTTGAGGTGGTGATTTCACCTATCTTTTGTGTCCTATTTACTAGGAATTGTTTGCAAATGGCTTCACCTAGTGAGCCAGAGGAGGCGAAGAAACCATATTTACGAGACTTTACTTTTGTAGTTTTGTAGTAGAAAAAAAACAATTCGTCCCTTTTAGAGCTTCTCTTGTGAAGATTATTCGTCTAAGTTGGTGTTTGACAGGATTTCATTGAAGCGGAGCTAACACTCGATAAGAAAATAGGGCCTCAGTTCTTGTATGAAATTATCACACGACTAGTTTGAGGCCGCTAAGAATGAGCTATAGCCATTAGCTAGCTAACAATAGCCAATTAAAACATGATTATGTTGCGCACCACGTTACATAAGCCGTGATATAATAGTATTTTGCAAGCATCCAAATATAACAAATGTGACTACCTGCGTCGTTTCTTCTTGAAAAAAGAGAGAGAGTGAGATGAGTGACAACTCTGCTCTCCTGTAGTACTACACTGTAAAGTGCAGACAGAGATGGCCACATCACTGTCACTGCTAACTAAACAGATCTGGGCTCCGCTTTGCTTTGCGCTGCTCGGGTCGGTTAACTAGCATCCTTGTAAAAAACTTTACACCCTGTCCAGTTGTCTGAGACACACGAATCTTTTAAACCTGATTAGTTAATGATTTGATAATAAAGTACTACAGCAACACATGCGCTAATGATGAATTAATTATGCTTAATAAATTCGTCTCGCGGTTTACTAACAGATTCTGTAATTTATTTTTTTATTAATATCAAGCATCTCAATACGACACTACATGTAACATCCGAAGTAACACCCAAAACTTTACCCCTAAATTTAAAGAAGACCTAACCCAGTGTAGTACAGTAGAGTAATTTTTCAGTGAACACCCTCGTTGTTCCTCAAATCCCATTTATTACCCTCACTCCTATCCCACAATGCGCCAGCTAATTATAAGCAAAGGAAGGGGACCTTGTCCTACTCCAGTGCCGTCTCTCGGTCTCTTCTGCTCCTCTCCTCTCCTCTTCTCTTCTCCCGGGAAGGGAACCCCGGCCGCTACCGAGAGCACACCAATCCCCTCTGATTTGCACCGCCAGCCGCGCAATCTCGGATCCCAGCCGTCCGCACCTCGCCGCGGCCTTCCTCCGCGCCACGAATGGTGGCCTCTGCCTATTGTCTTCTTCCAAGGACCTAACCCAACCCAACCCAACCCAAGGCGGTAGGTGCCAGCTAAAGTCTGAAGGCGACCACCGGGACCGGGCGGCGATGGCGACCGCCGCGAGGGAGAGGCGCCTGCCGCTGGCGCTGCCCCTGGCCACACTAATCGGCCGCGAGCTCCGCGCGGGGGGCTCCGAGCGCCCGGCCCTGCGCTACGGCCACGCCGGCTTCGCCAAGCGCGGCGAGGACTACTTCCTCGTCAAGCCCGACTGCCTCCGCGTCCCCGGGGACGCCGCATCCGCGTTCTCGGTCTTCGCCGTACGTACCGCCCTCACTCGCCCCTCCCTCTCCGCTGCTGCTCTCTATCTTCCTCTCTCTTGCTTCCTGCTGCGCCCTGATCTGACGCCTCTCCGCTGCTTGGATCTGGCGCGCCAGGTGTTCGACGGCCACAACGGCGTGTCGGCGGCGGTCTACAGCAAGGAGCATCTGCTCGAGCACGTCATGAGCGCGCTGCCGCCGGACATCGGCCGCGACGACTGGCTTCAGGCGCTGCCCCGCGCGCTTGTCGCCGGTTTTGTCAAGGCCGACATCGATTTCCAGCGCAAGGGTGAGTGCCACTGCCACCCCGATCACGTACAGTATCGTTTGCAGTCGAGATTGGAGCTCAACGCCACTACCTCTTACCTCTTTCAGGGGAGGTGTCTGGAACCACGGCGACACTTGTGGTCATCGATGGGTTCACGGTCACCGTGGCGTCGGTGGGGGACTCGCGCTGCATCCTGGACACGCAGGGCGGCGAGTTGCAGCTGCTAACCGTGGACCACCGCCTGGAGGAGAATGCAGAGGAGAGGGAGCGCGTCACGGCCAGCGGTGGCGAAGTAGGTCGGCTCAATCTCTTCGGTGGCCAGGAGGTAAACCAGTTCAGTTCGAGTGAATTACTAACTTGCTTATCCTCAATCAATTGCTTAAGAGCATGATGCATTGCTGCATGAATGTTGGGGAGTTTAGGTCGGTCCTCTCCGGTGCTGGCCTGGTGGCTTGTGCCTTTCGAGATCCATTGGGGACATGGATGTTGGGGAGTTCATTGTGCCCATTCCACATGTCAAGCAAGTCAAGGTTGATATAAATTACGAAATGCAGGGATCTGCAGTTCTGCACTTTAGTTTTTCTGTGGCGCATGTTATGCTGAGTTGTCAAAGTTGCTTCTTTGTGATTTTTGTAACTTCAGCTATCAAACACCGGAGGAAGGCTGATAATAGCATCAGATGGCATATGGGATGCGTTATCCAATGAAGCAGCTGCACAAGCATGCAGAGGATTGCCTGCAGAACTGGCAGCCAAGCTTGTCGTTAAGGTAATTCAGCATTTAGCTGAACTACTTTGAGGCCCTGAATGGTGCAGGTACAGTTGGCTCAGTTTCTAATTTCAATGTCCATTGTTATGTCCATGCAGCAAGCTCTGAAAACAAGCGGGCTAAAGGATGACACCACCTGTGTCGTAGTTGACGTTATCCCATCCGATCATTTGACATCACCGCAATTGTCTCCAAAGAAAAATCAGAACAAGTTGAAGTCACTTTTTCGTAGAAAGTCGCATAGTTCAGTTGGAAAACTTGGGGGCAAGTCTGCCTCCATTGGTTCTGTGGAGGAGTTATTTGAAGAAGGGTCTGCAATGTTAGAAGAAAGGTATGCTTGCTGTTCCAATGCTCCACGCCTCCACTGCATTCGTCGTGTTAAATTTTTTTTGGTCATAGACCAGTATCATTTTCTTTCGTGCTACTCACTGAGCTCGTTTTCATTTGGGATTTTAATATAACATATATAATGTGTGGCATGGTGAACCTTGTTAGTTTCTTAGCATATCTGGACAGCTGTTTTATTTCTAGGGGCTTTGCCTTTAAGCCTATTCCCATTACTGATTTACATTATCTTGTATACGTGCTCAGTGAAGCTTTCATTGACATGTCTTGTCAATTTTATTTGAGATTTCTGAGCTATTTTAGTGAAAAGAAGGTTAATCTAGACCTTTCAAATACAGCCAAGTTTTTTCTTTTAAAAAACTAGAGCACTGATGGTGTTTTACTTGTATTCTGCATAAATGACGAGAGTGATTAGCTGAACTTAGTGTGCTACCATGACCTGGGTATCAATCTTACAAGTTATCTTCCTTCCCCTTTTTTCGCTTTTCCTCTACATTTATACAAGATTAACAATGTAGATTCTTTGCTTTTTTGCATCAGCTTTACAATATATTATTGGCACAGGTATATATGTTATCAGACCTACATTTTGAACTATTACCTCTAGTCTGTAGATGTAACATTAAATGTTTCAGCTCGAAACCTGGGATGAACAAACTCTTTTTTAGGGAACTATTGTCTAGTTTGGTTAGGACTTAGGAATGCTTTTGGACTCCTGTTGCTAAAATATTGATGGTTCTGAAATGCTTACTTTGGATCGCTGCTCTGCTTTTTGTTGAGAAAGGCTAAACCATGGTCACAAAGTTCCTGGGTCTATAGGGTCGAGGAACGTGGTATCCTACTTGTGAGAGGTTTTTAGACCGTGGAATTGAAAATGACCCTGTGTACCTGGGTCGAGGGCCGCTAAACTGTAATGCCTCTGTGTTTGCTGGCTTCTACCATGCTATGGTGCCATTAACATCTAGGCCTTACTGTTGCAGGTTGGGTAGGAATTTGTCCTTGAAAGCTGCTTCACCACCTTTTCGCTGTGCAATCTGCCAAGTGGACCAAGAGCCATTCGAAGATTTGATGACAGATAATGGAGGTGGTTACTGCTCTTCCCCATACGCTCCATGGGGTGCTCCATATCTTTGTTTGGACTGTCGGAAGAAGAAAGATGCAATGGAAGGTAAAAGATCTAGCCGCTCTACAGCATGCAGGTGAAACAATCTAGACTCCGTTTAAGTCAAGCCTGTGGCCTGCCTGCTTCACAGAGAAAAGAAGCAATGAGAGGACGAGAAGTTGCTGGATCCAAGTATAATTGTTTGCTGAAACTAACTGTATTGCCAGCCCAGTACAAAACATATTTGGCTGGTGAGCGCTAACTAGTCTGTTACCTGCGTACAACCCATATGGAAAAGTTCGCTGTTGTGGAAATAGCTCAAATAACTTGATGTACAACCCATATGGAAAAGTTTGATGTTGCGGAAATAGCTCAAATGACGAGCTTGTAGTTTTGATGTACCCTGTAGTGTGCCTTGTGCAGGGAAAAAATGACCTGCCTATTGCTGCCTGTGATTTTTTCTTCTTCTATAAAATAGCTACTGAGGGTTCTCTTTGTATTAATCGTGGAACATATTTTTGGTGGGATTGAAGTAAGTACGAAACATGTACTTATGTGTAAAATACTCCCTGTGTAATGACATGTTATTGATGAATTGGCTTCCAGATATGCCTTTCTTGCATTTGAGTTTTCAACTATTGAATAGTTGATTGGTCAGATTATTGATGCAGAGTATAATTGATTGGTCAGATTGGTGTTGTCTGTTGTGGTAAGCGGTGAAATGCTGAATTTTTCTAGAGATTGCCTTTGCAATGTTCAGTCGGAATAGAAGTGCTGAATTTTGGAAGAGATGGATGTATTGGTCCCTAGTACTCGAATGAACAGAACTGGTTATTATAAGGGTACAATGTCTTGAACAGGAGCAGCAGAGGCAATGAAATGTTGAGAGCAGCAACTCAAAAGGCATCTTCTTCAGAGATCATCATATCACCATGGAACGGCACGGCTTGTTTACATCCAGAACGCCTGCGCCTCAAACATGTCAGATTTGGACAGCTTGTACTCGCCCGCAGGCCGGCGAGCTGTGACGGCGAGCTCGCCGTCGTCGTCCGCATACTTGACGCGAAAGGTGGTGAGGCGAAGCACGCATTTGTCTCCATCGCCGAGGCATCCTTTCCTGTCGACCCCCTCGCGCGTCAGGATCTCGACAAGGCAGAAGTTGCCGCCGCCACCCATGGGCACGAGCTTCGCCTCAATGTGCCGCTCTAGGTCCACGACGAACAGCTTCTCCTTGCTGAGCTTCCAGGGCGGCGGAACGTCGCAGCAGCAGAGGTAGCCGTCCGTGTCCAAGGCGTTGTATCTGCCACGTTCAAAGTGGAAGTGGAGGCGATCCATGCGGCCAGGTCGCGGTCGTAGTGTGCCTGGCCTTGGAACGGCAGCTGCCAGTCGCCATGGTGCGTCCACTCGCCGCGCTCCGTGTCGTAACCGTGGCCCAGGCCCGGTGGCCGTCGGCGTGGTTGTACACGTAAAGGGACGACACGAAGAAGGCGCGTCCCCCCGGGTGCAGCGCGTGAGCGCAGATGCCATCCATGTCAGGGACGGCGTGGTCGGACCAGCGCCACCGCGGTTTGGAGTACAAGGACTCGTCCTTGCTGCTGCCGCCTCCACCATGGGTATCCTCCTCCTCTTCTTGCTCGAGGCAGTGCATGCCGCGTCCCTGGCCTTGGAAGAGCCAAAGCTTGTTGCCCGCGGCCACGGCGAGATCGAAATAGCAGTCACGCATCTCAGTCGGTACGCCATGCAGTATGGTCAGCGCCGCCGTCTTTAGGTCGGAAGCCACGGTGATGGCGTCACAGCGGACGAAGGTCTCTTCGCTTCCGGTGCCTATGCCGATGATGTTGCTGCCCAGGACCGCGACGTACGGGTCGTGGTCGTAATCACCGAAAGTCGGATACTGCATGCGGAATACAGGAGGCCCGGGGAGGCGCCCAACAACGTTGTCATCGTCGTCGTCGTCGGCGTCTATGTCCAGCTTGTGGACGCTGCACCCTTTCTCCATGTCGTCCAGCACAAGGTACCAAAAATGCTGCTGGTGCTGCTGCTGATGCAGGGACGACGTCCTGTGGTGTCCGCCGTCGCACTGGGCTCTGCCGCGCTGGACCAAGGAGTCGTCCCGACGATCGCCATCGCTGGCGTCCGAGACGTGTCTCCGTGAGCCGCCGCCCAGGACAAAGGGCGGCTCGTTGACACGGCGCGGACGGCGTGGAATTGGGAGAGGAGGGAGACGCGTGGTCGACTCAGAAACGACCGGCACGCCCACATCGTGTGTCCTCCTGATCCGGCGCCGCGCCGCGCCGCCCGCCGGTGCTTGATTTGGTGAAGGAGATGGATACTACTAGATCCCAAATTTTCGTATATATATAGCGATCGCAGATTGATTGATTTGTTAGGATTTTGGGTCAGGCCGAAAGAATGGGATTTTGCAAAACAACCCAAAATTATAGGACTTGCTATATTTCGTGTCCCTGAATTTTTAGACAACAATCTTACACAATAACTATATAGTACAATTAAAATGACAACTTAGAAAGAGACAATTCACACTTTTTACCATAAATTTATAGGCAAACAATGATAAAATTACATGTTGTCAACCACAACAAATTTCAGATACCTGAGATATAGGAGAAGTGGAGAAGGTTGAACAAAAGAAACGCTGTAGAAAATCTATGTGCACGAAACATGTACTCCCTCCATCCCAAATTATAAGTCATTCCAAGAATCTTGGAGAGTCAAAGCTTCTCAAGTTTGACCAAAATTATAAAAAAATTACAAATATTTATGACATCAAATAGGTATACTATAAAAATATAATTAACAAAGAATCTATTGGTACTTAGTTGGTATCATAAATGTTATTATCTTATTATATAAACTTGGTCAAACTTGAGATGCTTGGACTCTCCAAGATTCTTAGAATGACTTACAATTTGAGATGGAGGGGGTACAATATATATGCCTTTTTTTGGTTTTTGGCCTTGAGTTTTGCACTATTCAATGTTGCCGTCCTGAAATACTGAAATAGAGTGCCCGCTAGTCCTGAGACTATTCAATGTTCAGTTGGAATTAGAACTGCTAAATTTTGGAAGCGATGGATGTATAATGTATTGGTCGCTAGTTTTAGTACTCGAGTGACCTGCTGAATTTTGGAAGCGTACAATCTCCTGAGCAGCAGAGCCAATGAAATGCATGCAGTGCTGAGCAGCAGCTCAAAAGGCATCTTCTTCAGAGATCATCAAATCACCATGGAACGGCACGGTTTGTTACATCCAGAACGCCTGCACCTGAAACATGTCGACATACCTGGACAGCTTGTACTCGCCCGCAGGCCGGCGATCGGTGATGGTGAGCTCGCCGCCGCCGCCGAAGCTATAGTTAAAGCGGAAGGTTGTGAGGCGAAGCACGCATTTGTCTCCGTTGCCGAGGCATGCTTTCCTGTCGACCCCCTCGCGCGTCAGGATCTCGACTAAGCAGAATTTGCCGCCGCCGCCACCCATAGGCACGAGCTTCGCATCAATGTGCCGCTCTATGTCCACGACGAACAGCTTCTCCTTGCTGAGCTTCCAGTGCGGTGGCGGCGCTGGCTTGTGCTTCTTGCTCTTGCGCCCGCCCGGACCCAGCGCCAGCGGCGGAACGTCGCAGCAGCAGAGGTAGCCGTCCGTGTCCAAGTCGTCGTCTCTACTATGTTGAATGTGGAAGTGGAGGCCGATCCATGCGGCCAGGTCGCGGTCGTAGTGCGCCTGGTCGTGGAACGGCAGGTTCCAGTCGCCATGGTGCGTCCACTCGCCGCGCACCGTGTCGTAGGAGAAGGTAGCTGGGCCCCGGTCCCAGCGGTCGAGGTCGCGGTCGCTACCTCCTCTTCCAGCTCGAGGTAGTGTGCATCCTGCGTCCCTCGTCTGGGAAGAGGTAAAGCGTGCTGCCCGCGGCCACGGCGAGATCGACATGGCGGTCTTGCATGCCACGCGGTAGGCCACGCAGGACGTTCAGCGCCGCCGTCTTTATGTCCAAAGCCACGGTTACGCCGCCGCCGCCGCTGCCGCATCTGCCGTTGAAGGCCTCTTCGCTTCCGGTGCCTATGCCGATGATGTTGCTGCCCAGGACCGCGACGTACTGGTGGTCATCACCGAGCGTCGGGTACTCCATGCGGAATAAAGGAGGCCCGGGGGCGGGGAGCCACCCAACAACGTCGTCGTCGTTGTCGGCGGCGGCGGTGGCGGGGTCTATGTCCAAATTGTGGACGCTGCACCCTTTCTTCACGTCGTCCAGCACAAGGTACAAAAACTGCTTCTGCTGCCGGGACGTCCTGTGGTGTCCGCCGTCGCGCTGGACCAAGGCGTCGTCCCGACGATCGCCATCGCTGGCGTCCGAGACGTGTCCCCGCGAGACGCTCACGGTGCAGTTGGCGCCGCCCAGAACGTTGACACGGCGACGGAACGCGTGGAGTTGGGAAAGGAGGGGGACGCGAGATCGACTCAACAACGACCGGCACGCCCACATCGTCTGCCCTCCTGATATGGCGCCGCGCCCCGCCGCCGGTCCTTGATCTGGTGATCAGGAATTTTTGTATATTATTATTGGGAGCGTCTTTCTAACACCCGGGTGTTTTAGCACAAATATCCGAATTTTTTTCTCTATGGATATTGTTCATCTTCCTCCTCTCCTTTTGTCGGGTTCATAAACCCGGGGTCCCTCATGGACATGCTTCCCAGTAAAAGCTCGGCCCAGTAGACGACGTTGCGAACGACGCGTAACTCCTGGGCCGGCCCAAAAACCTAACGACAGGCCAGAAGGACGATCCAGCCTCCGACCGGAAGGCCTGGCCAAAGAAGAGCGACGCTCACTTCCGACTCCGACCCGCCTCTCCGACCGAAAGGCCTGGCCGAGAAGGGATGATGCTCGCCTCCGACTCCGGCCCGCCTCTCTGACTGAAAGGCCTGGCCCGCGAGACAACCGTCATCCGCTCCGCCCGCTACCAGCAGACTCTCCGTAGGTACCATGAGATGAAAATCAGAGGAAAGATCCTTGAGGTCGGAGACCTCGTGCTTCGAAGAACCCAATCAACCAAGGAGAAATACAAACTCTCTCTATCATGGGAAGGACC